CTTTCTCTTCTATCAGGTTCAGTGTGATAAGAAATATATTGAGGTCTTTAACCCATCTGGACTTGAGTTTTGTGTACAGGGATAGATATGGACCTATTTTCATTCTTCTACATGTCGACATCGTTATGCCAGCACAATTTGTTAAAGATGCTTTCTTTTCTCCATTGTATAATTTTACCTTCTTTGTCAAAAATTAGGTGTTTATAGGTGTGTGGATTAATATCTGGGTCTTTGAATCAAATCCATTGGTCAACCTGTCTGTGTTTTTATGCCAATACCAGACTGTTTCCTTACTGTGGCTCTATAGTAGAGCTTGAAGTCAGGAATGATGATGCTTCCAGAAGTTTTTTTGTTTTTTTTTTTTTTATTGTACAGCACCCTAACTAACACTCTAAGCAATAGTGGAAATGGTGCCTAAATTGGTCTTACCCTGTAGGCAGATAGATGATTATCTTAAATGTCACCATAGAACCTCCATCCAGCAACTGATGGAAGCAGAGGCAGAGATCCACATCAGAGCACTGGGCTGAGCTTCAAAAGTCCAGTCAAAGAGTGAGAGGATTAAGAATATGAGCAAAAGGTAAAGACCATGATGGGGATATCCACTGAAATAGCTTATCTAAGTTAATCGGGGCCTATCAACTCTGGCCTGACACTGAGGGAGTTGGTATAGTACCAAACTAGGCACTCTGAATATAGATGACAATTGTATGACTGGGGCAGACTGCAGGACCACTGGCAGTGGGACCTGGATTAATCCCTACTGCTCATACTGGCTTTTTAGTAGGGAGGACCTTGGTTCTTCCTCAAAGCAAGACTTTGTTGACTCCCATGGTAATTCTTCTTCTCTATGAGGAGTGGATGGGGGGAAGGTGGATGGAACAGTAGTGAAAACTGGGATTGGTATATAAAATGAGAAAAGAAAGTTTTTTTAAAAAATAAATTAAAAAAAAAGAAAATGAACCTAAGAAGTAGGCTAGTGTGTCCATTTCAATATCTGACAAAGTAATCCTCAAAATAAAACTAATTAGAAGAGATGCAGAAGGATACAACATAGTCATTCAAGAAAACAAACCATCAAGAGTACACTGCAACTTTTAACATCTCTGCACCCATGTTAATAAAAGCTGCTGCTACAGCTTAAATAAAATATTGTTTTGGGGGGTAATTTTGACAGTGCCCTTTATACCTCAGTTTTTAGTCATTCAGCTCATCCTCCTAGACACCCAAACTCTATGGATGAAGACCCATAAGTATCCAAAGCTCTAAGGGGGACTCTGATGTCATGTCTGTACTTATTTTCTGTGAACTCCTATTATGTACAGTGACTTTTGGGAGAACATACATAGCAATTTAAATATTTGCAAGCAATTGTCTTTGGACCAATTGCTCTAGAAAATACAGCAAAGAACTGTAAATAAGTCATTGTGATGCCCTAGGAAATACACATAAGCACTATAAGTAAAGTCAATGTGATTTTATTTGCATTTTCAAAAGATCCTTAATTTCCTGAAGGGAATAAATTGCAAAATCCATGTAAATTGACAAAATGATTTCTGAGATAACATAGTTATGAACTCTATAGAATGTTATGTTCTGATCAAAGGCATCTTACAGAGAATTGAAGAGAACAAATAAAAGATAAGTTTACAATTGCCAAGATTTAGTGTGATCAGATATAAAAATGTGAGTTTGTGGACAAACTGTCACGATCATGCTCTCCTTTTGCAGATTTTACAGTATTTTCACAGTTTTTGGAATCTGGCTTGCTATACATTGTAGACAAAATAATTCCATCCTTGAAATATTCTTATCTCCAAAGTATAAAAGTCATTGAGGATGCAATTTAAGGTTCTTAAAATGAGATGGTGGTCATAGATTATTCAGGTAGGTCCATCATAATCTCACAAGATCTCATGTCCCAAGCAAGGCGGTTCATCCAAGGAGGAGGAAATGGAAACTGGAGAGATGCCTGAGAGATGTGTGCAGATACTATGCTACTGTTCTTAAACATGGTTCAAAGAATGAGGATGGAGATAATATGAAACAATTTGTCCTAACTGAAACCCCAGAAGAAATTCAGACATGCCTGTGTTCTAATTCTAGCTCCATAATACAGACATTTTTTTTACTTACCTCCACAACTATAAGTAAAATATAAACTATCTTGACATTAAGTTTATGGTATTCTATGTAAACAACAATAGTATAGCACTATCAGCAATATCTCATGCATCCCGGAAACTCCTCACTTTCTTCTGCACCTTGTACAGATTTACACGATTAGAGGCCCTTCCCCTTATCATCCTAGACAAACCAATCTTCTTAATCCCTTACACATACTTTCTTTCCTAAACTGAAATATTATTTTGAACTCAACAAGTCTTTATTGATTGAGTGATTTAATCGTAGAATCAGGGACTGAAAGCTCAAACATAGATAAGCTCTTCAAGAAGCTAGTCTCCTTATCTTACTGAGAATTACATGGTATTGCCCTCATTTTTTCCATTGCAGTATTTCCCCTTTACATATGTCTAGTATTGGTACATTTTTCTACTTGCTAAAATAGAAATCTCTACTCTACCTTGTTTTCTTCTTCAATATTGAATTTAACAAATTGTGCTTTGCTTGCAAGATGCATGCTTCAGAATTCCACTCATCATTCTCAGCTCTCATATCCCTTTGCCACAGTTCATGATGATATATTATAGCATAAAACGACCCATGTCTCAGTCAGGTTTACTGTTGCTGTAATTAAACACCATGACCAACAGCAATTTGGGAAGGAAAGGTTTTATTTTGCTTAAAGATCAATATCATAGTTCATCATCAAAGGAAGTCAGGGCAGGAATCTAGAGGCTGAAGCTGGTGCAGAGCCCATGGAGTCATGCCATGTACTAGCTAGCTACACTTGGATTGTTTACTCTGCTGTGTTATTACACTAAGGACTATTAACCCTTGTTTATAGTCCACTGGCTCCTCCCACATCACTAACTAGGAAAATGTTCTACAGACTTGCCTACCACCCAGTATTATAAAGGCAGTTCAAATGGCCAAAAGACACTTAAGGTCATGCTCAACCTCCTTAGCGATCAGGGAAATGCAAATCAAAACAACTTTGAGATACCATCTTACACCTGTCAGAATGGCTAAAATCAAAAACACCAATGATTGCCTTTGCTGGAGAGGATGTGGAGTTAGGGGAACACTCATCCATTGCGGGTGGGAATGCAAACTTGTGCAACCACTTTGGAAATCAGTGTGGCGGTTTCTCAGGAAATTCAGGATCAACCTACCCCAGGATCCAGCAATATCACTCCTGGGAATATACCCAAGACATACCCTATCATACTACAAAAGCATTTGTTCAACTATGTTCATAGCAGTATTATTTGTAATTGCCAGAACCTGAAAACAACCTAGATGCCCCTCAATGGAAGAATGGATAAAGTGTGGAATATATACACATTAGAGTACTACTCAGTGGGAAAAATCAATGACATCTTGAATTTTGCATGCAAATGAATGGAACACTATCCTGAGTGAGGTAACCCAGACCAAAAAAGAGGAATATGGTATATTATTCACTCATTAGTGGATTCTAGCCATAAATAAAGGACATTGAGCCTATAATTCATGATTCCAGAGAAGCTAAAGAGGAAGGTGAACCCCTCCCCCCCCAAAAAACACATGTAGTTATCCTCCTGGATATTGGAAGTATACAAGATTTTCAGGCAAAAATTGAGAGCTTGGAAATGGGGGTGGGATGGGGTAAGGGGAGATGGGGAGAGAGAAGTGAAAAGGGGAGGATGGGGAAAGCTTGAGGGAATGGGACTGTTGGGATGGAGGAGGAGTGGATATGGGGGCAGGGAAGTATATATCATAATTAAGGGAGGCATTTGAGGGTTGGCAAAAGACTGAAATCTAGAGGGGTTCCTAGGTGTCCAAGGAGATGTCCTCAGCTTGTTCCTTGAGCAGCTGAGGAGAGGGCACCTGAACTGGCCCTATACTATAGCCACTCTGATGAATATATTGTATATCACCATAGAACCTTCATCTGGTGATGGATGGAGATAGATAAAGTGACACACATTGGAGCACTGGACTGAGCTCCCATGCAGGAGAATTGTCTGTAATCTGTCAATCATGTTTTAAACAAACGCTGAAAACCAGACAGGAAGTAAAAATGATGTAATGAGAACAAGAGAATTCTGGGAAAAAAGAAGTTGATTCCTCCCACTCCTGTCTAGACCACTGAAGCAGGAGGTGTGATCTGCCAAGCTGAAAAAAGGTACTGAGCCACATGGCTAACATACATCAGAAAAATGGGTTAATCAAGATGTGAGAGTTAGGTAATGAGAAGCTGGAACTAATGGGCCAATGAGCTTATAATTTATGGAGACCTATATGTGATTTTCTTTGGGGCTAAACAGTTGTGGGATACCAGGCAGGACAGAAACCCCAACAAACAAGCCAGCCCCTCATATTACACTCCCAAGGTCCAAATGAGGAGCAGAAGAAAAGAGAACATGAGCAAGGAAGTCAGGGCCGGGAGGGTTGCGCCCATCTACTCTGATAGTGGGGCCGATCTAATGGGAACTCACCAAGGCCAGCTGGACTGGGACTGATGGAGCATGTGATCAAACTGGACTCTCTGAACATGGCTGACATGGAGGGCTGACTTAGAAGCTAAGGACAATGGCACTGGGTTTTGATTCTAGTACATCTACTGGCTTTGTGGGAACCTAGTCTGTTGGGATCCTCACCTTCCTAGACCTGTTTATTGGGGGGAGGACATTGGACTTCCCACAGGGCAGGAAACCCTGACTGGTCTTTGGACTGGAGAGGGAGACGGAGGGGAAATGGAGGAGGGGAAGATAAATTGGAGGAGGGGAGGAGGTGAAAATTTGTAATAATAATAATGGCAGTTTCTCCACTGAGGTTCTTTCCTCTCAAATGACTGTTGACAGCTTATATCAAGCAGAAACAAAACTCACCAGCATATTTTATTCCTTTATTTTCTTCTTTATCACAAAGATAAGGTTCAAATATGTTTTAATAAGAAAAAGACACATTATGCAAGATTTGTCATATTCTATTTCTTACCATCCTTTTCATATTAGTTTCTAATTTCCAAATTCCAAGCTAACCAACACTACACCAGGCATGCTGCCTTGGCCCCTATATCTTCAACACACTATGTAGACAGTGACTACTCATTCATTTACCAGCCACCCAGACCCAAATAATAACTCAGAAACTAGATTAACTACAGCATTGCTTGGCCAATAGTTTAGGCATATTCATGTTTAACTCTTCTATCTTAAAGTAACCCATTTTTATAATCTGTAAATCACCACAATGGTGAAACCTACTGGTAAGGTTCTTACTGGAGCCTGTAGTCTTTCTCTTTCAGCAGCTACATGGTATTCCTCTGACTCTACTTACTTTCTCTCTATATTTCTGTTCAGATTTCCTGCCTGACTTTGTTAAGTCATTGACCAAAACAGCTTTTTTAATAACCAATCGTAATAAAACCTATTTATAACATATATAGGGGAATCCCACATAATCTCTCCTTTTCTGTCTAAATGAAAAGGAAGGTTTTAACTTTAACATAGTACAATTTCATACAACAAAATAGGTATGAAGCAAGAATTAAAGTTCCAATATTTATATCTTCTTTATGTTTTATCATAACCAAGGAAAACTATAATTATAATTATCTGTCTCCAACTGCATCAAATACTCCAGAAGGATATATTACCTAAATATATTGCAAGCAACTTCCAAAACTCTAGAATTTAGAGAGACATCCCATTGCCTAGACAGTCATCCAAAGTTCTTCTGTAACAATGGAGTATCCACCTTCAACCTAGAGGCCCATAGTATCTGGCAGACTTTCACATGAAGCAGGAAATTTTTAAGACTGTTTTGCTTCTATTGGCAGTTCATCAGATGCTTTCTTCTGTATCCTGGAGAATGTCTGGCAGACTTTTTCATGAAATAGGAACTCTGAAGAACTCTCTCATTATTAGGCAAGTTTAGCAGCCATTTTTCTATGGGCCCCGCATGTCCAGTTTATATAACATACTAGTCCAGACAAGAGCAGTTTTTTTTTCCCCGAATGGCTAACAAATTCCATAAGGAGGCTCTTTGAAGCCCATTATCCTCTTGAAGTAGATTGGTGCTTCCAGAAGTAGATGTGTCTCATTGTCATGTGAAGTCCTAAATTCTTAAAACATTTTAAATGCCATATTCTGTTAGTCTTTAAAAGGTTTGAAGAATACCTATCCATCTGAACTATATCTCTGCACATCTCGAAAACCTAACTAACATGACTACATGTTTGACTACTATACATGACTATATATTAACTTATAATTTTCAATTTTATATTACATTTTTAAAGGATCTTCAGATATACAATATTTTAATCAAGAGCATAAATATACATGTAACAAAATTGATCTTAAATTCGTATCAATAAACCTAGATCCATACCAATGCAAAGTATTCATCTCTATAACATATCCCCCTTTAAATGTAAACAAACATTTATAAACAATCATTATAAACAATTTAGGCATTGTTCTCTAGATTACTTTCTGCTGATTGGGTGCACTGTTAATCAAGTATTTCATTGGGTATCCTGTGTGATAGGTCCATCTCAGACAACAGTCCTGAAGCTGTCATGGAGGTTGGACCATCTTGGCCATTGCTTAGGAAGTCTTGTTTGGTCAAACCATATTAGCCAGTAAGGGATCCATAGCTTTCTATTCTCTGTGGAAACAAAAGCAGAACGTCTTTTTCAAATCAACATATCCTTAGACCCAAATTTTGAAGTCAAAAGACCTTTAGTTTGTTTTAATGTAGCAACCCCCAGAATCAAATATCTCTACAGTCAAAAAATTCAAAGAAAACACAGTAATATACATAATCTAGACTCTCTGTGTATATCCCATCTTTATATGGCTTATTTTCTTTACTCCTTTAATATATAACTGTACTTGCTCTTGCTTATATTACTTTTACTATCTCTTTAAAGACTTTGCTTCTTTTTATAACTGTCTATATTCTTTTTCTTCTCTCTCCCAAGCCTATGCACATTTTTGAAAACACTGTGTCTCATTTAGAGGTCTTCTATATATGAATATGTCCAACTGCGTATCTGAAATTATTTTCTGACACGGAGCATTTTAAAATGGTAATCAGGGTGGTTGAGGAAGCCCTGAATGCTGGCTCTGCCTCTCTTAGACCTCTAACAAGGTGGATGTAGTTCACTGCCAGCTCTCAGACCACCAGAAAGGAACCATGCTTACCACCTCAATTCTGGGAAGCAGTTGACGCATGTTGCTGCCAAATACCTTGCAGATGCTGCCTACAAATCCCATTCAAATGTTCTGTCTCCTGAAAGAGTCAGAGCTGTTTGTGCAACTAACATGAACCAGGAAGACTTCTTAAAGAGGTTGTACAATTTTTGCTGCTACCACTGTGTCAGAAAGTCTTCTCTTTTTTTTTTTCCTTCCCAAATCACGCTTTATTGGAGTCTCTTGGTTATAGGGAGAGCAGAAAGCGAGGGGCAGAAAGTCTTCTCTTAAAGAAATTGTGTCTCTGCTTGCTTCTACCAAACAGAGAAAATCTGGGGAAAAAAAAGAGCTATCAAGAAGTCCTACTTAACACTGTTCTTTGGTGTCTAGAATTCCTTCCCAAGCTCTCTTGGGTTTTATATGTTGATATAATTGTCTCACGTTGGGTTCCAATCAGTTGCAATTTATAATAAAATAGTCCCACACTAGCCCAGACTGTAGTATAATATAGGTTTATTTATTTAGGGGATGACTCACACAAAAAACAGTGATTAGCAGTCCTCTGTGTGAGCAGGGAACTGGAACTAAATCCAGCAGCCAAGGGGCCCCACACATGCTTTTTGTATGCATTTCTAAAACATGAGACCATGCCCAAAGTGGACTGGTATCTTAAAGGCTATTTACGGAAGGAGTTCCCACAATAACACTATACAAGTTTCTGTGCCTTTCCAACTCTCATTAATTCTCTGCCTGTCTTGGATCAGCTCATTATTCAAATTCCACTTCAGAATCTATCTTCCTTGGGAATCCATCTCCTGCTTTACTGATAGGCACAAGATCCTTTTTCTTCTCTAATCACACAATTTTAAATCTAACTGCAACAAAACTTCTCACACTATTCTGGGCAGCTTTATTTGCATTCCCATATCCTCTACTATATTATCAGTACTGCAAACTTCTCTTTACATTCATCTTTGCACTCTCTTGAGCCTGGCAAAGTGCCTGGTCTATATTAGGTTAAAAATAAAAATGTAGCAAATTAATGAAATCATGCTCACTAAATTATAGCTTTCGGGATAATGACAAAGGACAGCTCTAAAAACGTTTCCCAAAGAACTTCTGCTGCCAACTTGTATGCACTCATTCTTTAGTATTAAGAGGAATTGTGCAATATGGTTTAAATTATTTTGAAACAATCAGAGTTGGGAAATTGGAGCTAAACAGTTCATAAAAATGTAGAACATTTAATAGTAAAATGCTATGTACAGATGATAGCCATGGGGCAGTCAGAATAAGATGATACTATGCTTATACCACCTTCTCTCAGCCTGTCCTGAGCTCCATTGCACAGAGCTGCCAAATAACTTTTTCTACAGGTCAACTTGCATCAACTGCATTACATTATTTCACTCCATCCCTGCTGTGCTATGACCAACTTGCTGAGGAATCTAAGAAGCACTTCAGCATCCAATATCCTAGAAATATGGGTGACCTCAACGGTGGGACCAAGCTAGATCCATGGAGGAACCTGTGAACAAGGGATTCTTTGTATTCTCCTGAAGCTGGAAAGTCTGAACGTCATTATGCAGAAATTCTTTTTTTGTTGTTGTTGTTTAATTTTTTTTAGTTGTTGAAAAAAATTTCTGCCTCCTCCCCGTTTCCCATTTCCCTCCCCCTCCTCCCACACATCGCCCCCTCCCCCCACTCCCCTCACCCTCTCTCCCTCCCCCCCCACTCCATTCCCCCTCACTCTCGAGAATGAAGAGCAGTCCAGATTCCCTGCCCTGCGGGAAGTCCAAGGTCCTCCCACTTCTATCCTGGTCCAGGAAAGTGAGCATCCAAACAGGCTAGGCTCCCACAAAGCCAGTTCATGTATTAGGATCGAAACCTAGTGCCATTGTCCTTGGCTTCTCATCAGCCTTCATTGTCTGCCATGTTTAGAAAGTCCGGTTTCATCCCATGCTTATTCAGTCCCAGTCCCGCTTGCCTTGGTGAACTCCCAATAGATCAGGTCCACTGTCACAGTGGGTGGGTGCACCCCTTGTGGTCCTGATTTCCTCACTCATGTTCTTCCTCCTTCTGCTCCTCATTTGGATCTTACGAGCTCAGTCCGGTGCTCCAATTTGGGTCTCTGTCTTTATCTCGATCCATCGCTAGATGAAGGTTCTAAGGGGATATGTAAGATTTTCATCAGTATGGCTATAGGATATGGTCATTTCAGGTTCCCTCTCCTCAGTTGCCCAAGGTACTAGCTGGGGACATCTCTCTGGACATCTGCGAGCCCCTCTAGAGTCAAGTCTCTTGCCAACCCTAAGATGGCTCCCTTAATTAGGATATATATTTCTCTGCTCCTGTATCCACCCTTCCTTTATCCCAACCATCCCATTCCCCCAAGCTCCCCCCATCCTCCCCTTCTCACGTTTCTCACCCCATTTCCCCTTAGCCCCATTCCACCTCACCCCCCAGCAATCTTGTCTACTTCCCATATCCAGGTGGATCACTATATGTTTTTCTTTGGGTTTCTAGCTTCTCTAGGATCACAAATTATATGCTCAATGTCCTTTATTTATGGCTAGAAACCAATTATGAGTGAGTACATGATGGAGGAAGGTCATTGGCTAATAAAGAAACTGCCTTGGTCCATTTTATTGGTTAGAACATAGGTGTGTGGAGTAAACAGAACAGAATGCTGGGAGGAAGAGGAAGTGAGCTCAGACTCAATAGTTCTGCTCTTTGAGACACACGCGATGAAGCTCCGACCCAGGATGGATGTAGGCTAGAATCTTTCTGGGTAAGTACACCTTAGGGTGCTACACACATTATTAGAAATGGGCATCCCTAGAAGAGAGATGCCACAGGGCTATGAGACCCTTCTGATGTTGGCTTGCCCTACTACCTGAATCCACACTCCTTTTTACCAAAAGCCACAGGGATACTTACTTGCAATCTCTCTATCTGCTGTCATACCCAGTCCTGGCTGCCAAAATGAAGAGGTCCAGGCTCTTTATGGAACATGTGCTTTCTAATAGGGTATCTGACCCCAGAGAAACAGCCTACTGCTGGTTCCCAGGCTTACTGGGTCCTGTGGGGAGGAATTAGCACCAGCTTGGACCCCACTGACATGTGTGCCTCCTGCATGGGAAAAGAGACAGGGAGGGGCAGACTGCAGTTATCAAAGTCAGAGGGAAGCTGGCCTTGGTGCCTGTACTGTGCTCTGTAACAAAATAGTAGACATTTTGTTATGGTTTCCACATTGTAACATGCAATTTATACTAACATAAACCTGTCTCTCTCATGTTTACTCACAGATATTTGACTCCAGAATGAACTCTCTCTTCTTTCTTTGAGGTGAGAGCTATGTGTTTACATTGATAATTGTTAGTGTGGGTTGTGTATATGCTCATGCTTGTGCAAATGTCCCTGGATATATATTTGTGAAAGTTAGTTAATCACTTACTGATGTGATAGGTTATGTGTTATATTCTCCTAGTCCTCTTCTATGATGACCTGGTGTTTAGTAGGGGGGTTCTCTGGACAAGCTCTCCCTGGTGACAATATAGGGAACCTGGTCCGGGTGGCCATAAGGGTCAGGCTGGAAGACTTTTTCTTTAACCTGCAAAATAGTATCTAGATTGAATGTCCTGCCCTGTGGCCAGCCCACTTCAAAAGTGGGCCAATCCAGGAAGCAGACCACTTGCCAGCATTACTTTCGGATTTCCATAGATCGGTCTGCAGCTTTTCTCTAAAGTTAGAGTTAGGGTCAGAGAGGTGGTTACTTACTGCCCCATGGTACCAGATTTAGACTCGAGTACAAACAGATATACAAAAACAAAGATACGACATAAAACCAAAGACACAAAAAGCCAAAATCAAACTCAAAATCAGAAGCTGCGCAGCACTACAGATTCAGAGGAAGTGTGCGGCAAAAAGCCATGCCTCCTGGGAACTAGAGGAGTGACCTGGTCACTCTTAGCCCTTTCGGATACTGGAGTGTCCTCCAGATTTACGGATTACTGGGGCGTCCCCCAGATTTACAAATTACTGGAGCATCCTCCAGTACAGATACTGGCTCTACGTAGGTACAATTTCAGAAGCTGCGCTGCACAGCACTACAGACTCAGAATACCAACAAACACAGACTACAATAATCACAGAAACAAAGCAGACAGACAGACAGACAAAGACAATAATAGCGCTCGATCTTACCTCCAACTGTGCCTGGAATGGGTCCAGAAGCAACTCAGTTCCCGGCCAATGCACCAAAATGTTGGACTAGAAGTCCAAACATCAGGAAAGAGTTGCTCCAGACACCGTTCACATAACCACAAATTGATGCAAAAGCAAGAGGATTTTTATTCTGTCATGACAGGGTCCTTCAGGTTTGGGATATGAGGGACAATGATAGCTGTTACAGTCCATCTTTTAAAGCAAAAAGTCACAGACACAAGGGGGGGGTGACCTGTAGGTTGTTTTCCAACTTATTGGATTGGCTTATTCAAAGGGTTACTAGCAATGATTGGTCTATTCCAGGGCAGGAGAATAGCTGCATGGTCAGGTGATAAGGGAGAGCGTCTGTGGTCCATGCTGACCTTTGGTTCAGTGACTAAATCAACACATCAGGAACTGAGTCAACATCTGTGGGTTGTATTTGCCTCAATTCCCAAAATGGAGTTACATTTGAAGATTATTCTCAAGGACACAGGGGGATGAGCAGTCCAGCATGTGGTTATTTACAAGGACACAGGAGGATAAGCAGTCCTGTGTGTGTTTGGGGTGGGGGTGGGGCAACTGTCCCTTTTCCAAGAGAGAGTGAGTGTAAGGTTTTAGAAAAATGTCTTAGGGTTGAGGGAGCTTACAAATGCATTTAGAGTCTTTCAGGTGGAGTAAACAGAACAGAATGCTGAGAGGAAGAGGAAGTGAGCTCAGACTCAATAATTCTGCTCTCTGAAGCACACGTGATGAAGCTCCGACCCAGTATGGATGTAGGCTAGAATCTTTCTGGGTCAGCGAAACTTGGGGTGCTACACACATTATTAGAAATGGGCTAGTCCAGGTGCAAGAGTTAGCCCAGAAGAGGCTAGATATAATGGGCCAAGCAGTGTTTAAAAGAATACAATTTGTGTGTTGTTATTTCTGGTGTAATGCTAGCTGTGCGGGAGCCGGGTGGGATGAAAAGTAGGCCCGCAGCTCCTACAACAAGTACATATGCAGAAATTCTTAAAGGCTGCCAGCGTTTTTACCTGTACCATTGTAGATAGATAAGGCCTTATCTCATGTTCCCTTAGTCATATTCCTTGATCAAACTCCTACTCTAGTTTAGGTTTTCTATTGAAACTATCTTAGAATTGATAGAAAAATAAATATTGATCTTGGGAAGCAAGCTCTGTAGATGGAATCCTGTAACTAGTTATATGGAAGTTAGCTGGGTATACATAAACCTTAGCACTCAGGAGCCAATACTAAGCAAGATTCTCAAGATCACAAATTGGTTGAAGCATACTTGAAATGCAAATACAGTGGCTGCCAATAAATAGCAAGAAGAAAATTTAGTTTTAAGGATTGTGCATTACTACTTATCTTAACTTGGGAAAGAGTCTTAGAAAAGAAACTGAAAGGCTCAAAGCTAGTCTACCTCCAACTTAAGACATGCTGTGTAAACTCAAAGATGTCCATTCTGATCTTAAGAAGAAACCCATATCATTCAGAACCTCCCCACCCTTCCTCAAAAAAAAAAAAAAAAGAGCTGGATTCTTCAAACCGTTCACAATCACCAAAGAACCTGATTTTTGAACCCTCAAAATACCTGAAGCATTTCAAATGTACAAAGTCTACTCCTCTCCATGAATGGAAGAGGAACTGCCACTGCCACATGTGTAAAAACCTGAAACACATGACCAAAGTCTTACTTCAAAATGTACTTTGGAGTCACCCATGCAGAATTCCATTGCCCCTAAGTAAAAAAATTGCACTTGGGTCACAGTGCAGCCTAGATAAAGAAATATTTGATGGTTCCAAAGGAATATAGCAGACACTTTCTGTCATGATTTGTTCTTGTCAAGCTAACATGAAATAGATATGCCTGGGAAGAAGGAATCTCAACTGAGGAAGTGTATATGCATCAGATTGGCTTATGGCCATGTCTGTGGAGACATTTTCTTCATTCCTATGAATGTGGGAGAGGGCCAGCCTACTGCATGTAGGCAAGTGGGCCTGGATTGTAAAATGAAGACAGCTGGACAAAGCCAGAAAGCAACGTTCCTCTTTGGTCTCTGCTTCAGTTCCTTTTCCTGCCATGAAATCCTTCTCTGGCTTCCATCAATGATGGACTATAACCTGTAAGTTAAAATGAACTCTTTCCTCCCCAAGTGGCTTTTGGTTGTGGTATTTACCCCAAAAACAGAAAGCAGGCAGAACATAAATTCCTACTGAATGTAGAACACTAGTCTGACATAAGTGAAATCCAGAGAGTTCTTACACTGTCTCAGCACACAGAAGCTATTGTTGAGAGGGTGCTAGGTTGCATTTTAAGCTGGCACTTGAACTTAGTCATGTGTGAAGTTCTCCCACATACGATTAAAATTCAAGGCTTAGGAGCTGATGGAGAATAGCTGAAGTTTGGCACTGTATGGCATGACCATAGTCTCACTGAAGAGGGGCAATAGACATGGTACAACCTCTGTTACAGTGGAAACACTGAAGACCAAAGGGACCATAGAGGGAAAACAAGGCTTGCTTCTATGTGGCAGAGTCCCTGAAGAGCTAGGAGGGCAGGGGAAGGTGCAGCTTTGGGTGCAGTGGAAATGCCAGCATACTCAAGGTGTGTGTGTGTGTGTGTGTGTGTGTGTGTGGGAGAGAGAGAGAGAGAGAGAGAGAGAGAGAGAGAGAGAGAGAGAGAGAGAGAGAGAGAGAGAAGAATGGAACTGGCCTGATCCTGTAAAGTGTGTAATTCCTGTAGATGGCAGAGACTGAGAAACAGAGTTGCCCAACCTCTTTGGAAGCCAAAGGAACCTGAGTGAGCTCCATATGACAAGCACTGAGCTACAGAATTTTATTTATATTGATGGATGCTGGTTTTGTTTTTAGTTATTTGTATCTGTGTCCTAGTTCTTCTCTCTTATGATTAAAAAAAAAGATAGGCAACTTGCTTGTGAATTTACAGAAATTATAGTCAAGTGAGTTTGGGTTTTTTAAGAGAGCTTTGACTTTCAAATGTTGAAAACTGTTAATGACCGTGGGACATTTACAGTTATACTGAGTTTTATATTATGATAATAATGTGACATCTTGACAACAAATATAAACAGTAAGACAAGTTAATAGATGTATATGTCAAAGTTTACGAGGGGTAGAATGTCAGTTCTTTCAACTTTTCATAAGCTTATACATACTTGGGAAGAAGGAATCTCAGTTTAGCAGCTGCTTCTACCGAAATGGCCTGGGGATCTGTCTCTGAGGCCCTTTCTTCATTGATGTTGATGTGGGAGGACACTATGATTGGTGTAACTCCTGGGCTAGTGGGTCTGGATCCTATAGGCAAGATAACCTTAGTAAACCAAAGGAAGCTAGCCATCAAGAAGCATTTTATCATGATCTCTGCTATAGTTGCTACCACTAGTGTCCTGACCTGACTTCCCTCAATGATGGACTATGACATGGAGTGTCAGTCAAATAAACCCTTTCCTCTTCAAGTTGCTTTTGGTCAGTGTTTCACCACAGCAACAGAGATGAAAACTAGAACATCTTCCAGGGTGGCTGTGAATCTGTGTTCTGTCCCTCTAGAAAGTACGGTACATGGAAAAGTTCCAGTATATTACTACAGGAAGTATTTCTCCTGATTCAGAGGTTAATCTTCTGACAAGGATATTCTATGCCTGCCCTAACATGTTTCTGAAATGCTTCTTTGGAGCTTGGATATATTTCTGACCTCCAAGTGTGGTAGAAATGCCAGAACTGCGTTAGCGAAGTGCTAATGAACAACTCAAGAGCATGAAATGTTGGAATGGATTTATTTATTACACAGTATTAGAGAAACTGCCATCCATGTTTCCCAGGAGAAGCAGAGAACAAGCTTTTTGCTAACTCAATAATGAATTTTCAGGTAAAGAGGCTTACATGCTTTGAGGAGATTGATGGTGATTGTCTTCCATAGGTTGTCAAGGAACTTGGATATTTACTAGCAGTGTGAATTGTGTCTGGGATGGCAGGACGAAGGCAGAAGTTCCAAAAAGTCAGCTTAAGATGCATGAGATTGTTGTAATGGGCAACAGAACGAGAGCAGCAACCAGAAAACCTTAACCCAAAATAATCTATCCATCAAGGCTGATAGAACATGATACCCAGAGGGACTGAGAAGATAGGAAATAGCTACTCAGTTTGTTTGAGAAAAAAAAAAGAGAGAGAATCATTTAGCTGAATGTGAATATCAGTTACAGATTTGAAAGTTATAATCTTACATCTAATTCTAAGTATAAGATATTAGACACTCGGGTCCCATTAACTGGTATGAAGGTAATGTCTAAGAATAGTCCTGAAATATCCCCACAGATATAGGACATCACCATTTGCCCTGACCTTCCTTTAAAAATGCCCATCTATCTCAAAGAGCAATCGAGCAGGCTAGGAAAGTAATACCCAAAACAGTTGGAGGGCTGTTACATACTGTGACACCCGGCATCCCAAAGGCCATCACACTGCACTTAGTAGACACTTCAAGGTGTCACAGTGATCAAGGAATCAAAGGCTTCATTATGTCGCCTTTCCCCAAGTCTTTCAATGGATGGGGAAAAAAATTAGGATTTTGCAATCTTTGACCTGTACTATGGACAGCAGTTAAGAGTAATGGGATCCACTGAAGGTTCCTGACAGGGACTTTGTCTCCTCTATTCAGTCTATTGTAATGCGTATTTCACAGTACTTAAAGTGAGCTCTGCCTCATAGAGACATGCAGTTGGAAATGACAAAAATGTTTTACAGCTTTTTTAGATAATTGGACTACTTTTTCCTTTGCTATTTATTTCAAATTTTAGACAAAGAGTAAATTTTCTTTTTCTTTTTTTCTATTTTTGTGACATAGTGTCGCTACATATCTCAGTCTGGCTTTAGGCTAACTCTGTAGCACAGACTGACCCAACCCATGACATTTCCAACTTAGCTTCCTGGATATCGTGATTACACCAGGGCTCCATCATGCCAGGTGAGTAAATGGTAGCTTTTTAAACACCCACAGCAGTGCAGAAATTGTGTGGATAGCAATTAGTTATATAATGTTTAATGTCTTTACTTAGGATGAACTTTTCCACCCATGTTTGATTTCATGATAACTTCTAGAGGCTGGCATAATTCATTTCACAATCCAAAACCTACATGCTTCCAATTCACACTCATATCAAGAAAAGCTTTCAGTATTAAGAAACTACCCAGCTACCAGTACCAAACATATTCTATAATCTTGACTTTTGTTTAACTGCTTTAATGTT